CCTCAGATCATTATATACCACTCCGCCGCACCAGACCAGGTGACTGCAAGACAAGTTCTTATACATGTTAGCTAACGTGTTGAACCTGAAAGTTGGATGGCGTAAAGTGATGAAAAACTGATGCAGGACAATCTATGTGTATATGTGTGCCTGGGCCAATAGATCTCATGCAGGAAGATGTCACCGTAGTGTATCTCTGAGAACAGCTGACGCCGAGTTACTTGTGTGAAGTGTCCAGCTTATGAGGCAATGGTGTGTGGCAGCAAACAACACTTTATACTGTACTAATGTCTCCTATTTTAGGAAATAAAATATGACTAATTCACTTAATAGACGGAACTGAAAGATATTTATCTAATAACAACATAAACAAGTTATCTAAGCATAATTAAAGGATTTTGTTTAATATATTAGTGATGTAAATCTTACTTTATTGGAGTACAATGGTCTACTAAAGTTTTTATGTTATTTTTACTAATTTATCAATGAATCTGAAATTTAAGAAAAATTTGTTAATTTGATCGTCTTTAGATGATAGATTTAGTAATTGATATGTCTAGCTTAAGTGATATTAACAACAAGTCCTTTGTTTCATCGGAGGAGACCACTGAACACGGCTATGTTACATATAGCGTTCAAAAAGAGTAAACTGAACTTCAAGTTAACTTTTTTGAACAGTAAATCTCTTGAATCATCGTTGACAGAGGTACTCAACTGGTCATTTCAGTGAGGAAGAATATTCTCATCACTTGAGATATCGTCCATAATGATTTATAAGTGCCCAAAGTATAACCAGAAGACGTTCACTGTTAATATCAAAAGTTTGTCTTACTTTTCTACTTCATGACTTTAATGGTGTTGGACGTGGCAGCCTTGGTGGGGGTAAGACGGGTTATCCTGCGTTACGTTATCTTTATGGTGCCAGGATGTTCAGTTATAGACTATTTGTTTTCTGACTGTAGATATTACTTGGTCTTTTATATACCAGTTAGTATTAATTTATTTAAGTTAACATTATCCCCCATGGAACTGGTCCTGCCTCTTCTTACAGTTTCAAAGTCCGTGATTATAACTCGGCTTTTTCTGTTAATAATTATAAATATGCTTTTTTCTGTAGAGAGGAAAAGATAGTGTTGTATGTGGAGAGGAAAAGATAGTGTTATATGAATGTAACTTTTGAGGGTGACATAACCATCATAACCTAGACAAACATCAATACTTCCTTAACACTATGTAGTTGTCGTCTATGATAAGATGAGTTAATGTGTCGAGAATTTAAGGCCCTAGAAACATTTCACCTGTCTATGATGTTCATTTACAATCCAGAAGATGTACCTCACTGGGGTCTGGTCTTGACTGGCAGCCTCTCAGTATACCAGTACAGACTCACCCTTGAGGCCTGGGGATGGACGTTAGATGGAAGATCATTCTTGACTTTCCACCTGGAGTAGAAACCTGAACTACAAATCCTATGACGAAGTATTTGAGTGTTGGGTTAAAGTTTGAATGTTTATATCATTAAGTATTGTTTTGTGTTAATAGTCCACTAAGTCCCAACCTTAATAAAACACGTCTAAGTTATATAATCTACCGTGGTATTGATAAATTAAAATATTTTAATATTGGACAACTTAATCTGTAACACCTATACCAAATCAAGGCAAATATTGGTTAGGATTGAAAACGAACGTAACAGAATCCGATATCTCTTGACGTACATCTTCAGGTTACTGAAGTCAACACAACAGTTATTGGTAAGAAGTAAAATGCTATAAGGACACCCGCTACTGGACCCTACGGTAAGATAAGACCAGAAGAAACCCTCTAATAGGTTTATAGATGGAAGGAGGAACATTGCTGGTACTTATTGTCCTGTGCACTTACTGTAGCATCTGAAGGGTCTATCACACACTAGTGGATGAATATTGGCAATGATGGAGATAAAATTATGTATTCATATACTGTAAGTAAAAATTTTGTTTGCTCCATCATTTTGTGTCAACAGTATCAGCTATACATAAAGTACTCAAAAGAATCCATAAGAATATTGCTGTTTTCCATCAGTAATAATTTATTAGTTATTTTTGTAAATAAATAAAGGCCTTGATAATTTATGGCTGGGTATACAATACAACATGTATGATGTATGAAACATTTCAGGTAGGACTAGACTTGGTCGAGGGAGAATGATCCGTCAGGTAACTGGTCAGGTAGATTTATCTACTTGGACTCGTTGGGTCATAGTAACGGGGAGTCTCCCGGGACTCGAAGGACTCGAAGGACTCGTATGAGTCAGGGTAGCGACCTCTCCGTCGTACTTGACATCAGCCAGGTAGCCTGAGTCACCTTCACGTTGTAAGTCACAGTCTGACGACGGCCGTCAGGAAGCTGCACGTAGTACAACCCTGGGTGTC